GGCAAGAATGGTTTGAAACCAATCCAGGTTAGCACTGGGAGCATTTGCCTTCCAGCGCTATTTACTGAAGTCCCCCACCCACCTAAACGCAGCTACCTCTGCTCTAATCTGCATCCCCATTACCCATCCTAATATGGCTATTCCATCCGTTCTCCATGCAACCTAAATCACCTCTCTTCCTCATACCGATCCCCACCTAAATTAACCACCCACAAACAAAGGGAAAAATTTCACCCCACAGCACCTAATGTCAGGCACCACACCGCACTTCACAGCTAGGGATCCCCCTTCACAGCTGGGGATTCCTGATTCCCCCACAGCAGGGCGTCCCCTTCACAGCTGGCATAATGCAATGCCTGCACGCAACGGCCGCACTTCCGGGCAACGGAGCTTCATGGAGCCCGACATGGCATCTCCCACCTACCAGGTTAGCCAAAAAGTATAGCTCTCAATCACCTATATGCTGGAAATGAAAGAAAGAACAGGGCACCTATTCTCATATGTGTTGGGAGTGCAAGAAAATACAAGAATTTTGGCACAAAATATGGCAATGGTTAGAAGAAATGTTGGACCTAAAAATAAATTATATAGCAGAAATGTTTTTACTGGGAATAATAAATGAGAATTTCAAAAAAGCAGATATATACCTAATCATTCATATTATTACAGCTGCATGATTATTAATTGCCCAAACATGGAAGTTAAAAGGAATACCGAACAATGAAGCAATAATAGAATTTTTTTTTCACTGCGCTGAGTTAGATAGTATGACGTTAGAACTGAAGGAGCAATTTTATGCAATATGGGAAAAATTTTATAATTGGAGGGATATGAAAGGAAGTCTAAAAATGTGAAATAGAATTTAAGAAGAGATTATATTGAAACAATGTCTAAGATAGAAATTGATACAAAGATTACAATGTAAATATATATATAGTTGTATAGATGTACTGTATATAAATATATTGTTTGATGATTTTTTGTTTATATAACAATGTCTTTACATTTACTGAGATATATGTCAAAAAGATCACCACGTTCAACCCGGTAATAGCCTTCCCTCCAGTCCAATTTTGTGAAAAATTTCCCCTTGGCTAAGTGCTCAAACATGTCTTTCATTAGTGGTAGGGGATACATATTCTCCACGCAAATAGCATTCAGCTCATGATAATCAATGCCTAATCTCAGGGAACCATCTTCTCTCTGAAGAGCACAGGGGCAGCCATATGCAATTTTGCTGGTTGGATGAATCCCCTAGTCAGGTTCTTATCAATAAAAGCCTCAAGTTCCTCCAATTCCCGTGGGGTTGAGTAAAGCTTGGTTTTCAGTAGTTTAGCCCCAGAAATTATTTTAATGGCACAGTCCGTGGGGCAATGAGGGGAGAAAAACATTTGACTCCTCCTCACTAAACACTTCCTCCAGACCCCAGTATTCTTTGGGAATCAGCGTAACCAGTCCCTCCTCCTCTCAAGCTGTTCCTTCGTCTTCTACTTTCACTTTCTTAATAGGTGGCTTGTGGTGGATTGGCTTTATGTTCTCTTCGGCTTTCTCTCCTGCTGGCTTTTTGCACGCTCTCAAGCAGTTTTGCTCCCAGTCTACTGAGGGATTCCACTTCTTTAGCCATGTGAGCCCTAGCACCAATGGCTCAGTCATGCCTAGGTTCACGATAAAGCTGACAGCCTCTATGTGGTCTCTTATTTTTAGCTGCATGGGTACTGTTAAAAACGTAGCCAGGCTCCCCCCGTGACATTTTAATCGAGCTGGGAAGATGCTGGAAAGGGACAACTTACAGTGGACAGATGAGTGTGGATGGGTTGGCATGGCTGGGTCGGTGCAGTTGGCTAGGCGCTGCTGACTTGGCATGGCCAGGTGGGCATGGCTGGGTTTGTGTAGTGGGCTCAGCCCTGTTGACTCGATGTGGTTGGGTCAGAATGGAACAAGTCACACTGGTTAACTCTATGTGGGAACTACTTGGCACCCTACCAGCTACTTGCCTCCCCGAACTGCTGGCAGCCAAGTGCCATTCTGAGTGTGTGTGCATGCACGTACCACACTGAAGGAGATACCCTTCTCCCCAAGCCTGAACACCCAAGTGTTGGCATTTCCCTCTTCAGTGCCCCCCCCACCCCCACCCAAGAGCCAAAGCAGGAGGCGGAGGGTGATGCTCCTGCCCATGGAAGTGTGGAGGAAAAAGGTTGCAGGAAGCAGTTTCCTCTGAGTCCAACTTCTGCTTTGACAGATCTCTGGAGAGGAAGAAGAGGAGGCAGGGAAGCAGCACATCCCAGTCTTATGCAAGGGAGGCTGGCCCAGCTTCTCAAAAGGGAATCCCTGTTTCCAAGTGTGTGTTGTAAGGATGCTGGCTTGTTGGGGCAGCATTCTTACCTGTCAATAGACCAAATCAATAGACCAAAACATGGGTCTGCCCATGTGCAGAGGCAACTCAGGAAACTCACATACTCTGGGCTGTTCCCAAGTGGTCAGGAGAGAAGTGAAGTGATGGTCCTGGAGTGACTGCCTCAACAAGCCTCCCTCACCAGGTCCGGGGTGTGCTGCTCCCCTACCTCCTCCTTTCCAGAGGTCTGTCAAGGCAGAAGTTGGACTCTGGCTTCCTACAACCTTTTTCCCCCACGCTTCCATGGGCAGCAGCATCACCTTCCACCTCCTGCTTTGCCTGGCCAGCCTCCCTCATGCAGCTCCCTGGATGGTAAGCTTTTATTACCTTGAGCTGCAATTATCATTCTTTGTGGATTACAAATAGTCAGAGACTGCAATCTTTTTTAATAATATTTTTAAATACTTTTAAATATTTTTGTGGGCTACCTTTCTATTCTCTTTTTATACTATATGTATATGTATACATGTGTATGTACTGTGTTTCCCCCAAAATATGACCCACCCTGAAAAGAAGCCCTATCGTGTTTTTCACCGCATGTGTTAAAATTAAGCCCTACCGCCAAAATTAGCCCTCATTAAGACCCTGCCCACCCCGGTCTGCAGGAGGTGGGGTGAGGCGCACAGGTAAAAATTAAGCTAGGGTGGGGATGGGAGGATGGAGCTGCCCTACTTACCAGGCCTTGCACAGCCCGACACCTGCCTCACCTTGCAGGCCCATTTCTTCTGCGGCTGCTTGCTACCGCTCGCACGCATCACCCCTGGCCTCCATTTCACCATCAGAGCCTTCTGGAAAGTCTTCTGCAGCCGAGAAATGAGGTCCGGATTGATGTGCGCATCGCCCCTTGGCCTCCATTTCACCATCAGAGGCCTTCTGGAAAGCCCTCTGTAGCTGATAAAAGAGCTCCAGTTCGGACTTGGGGAGCAGGATGTCTCCTTCAGTGTGATGCACTCACCCACCCGCATACACCCACCGTTCCAAGCTTGGGGCTTTTATCCACACCTGAGGTAGGAAGCTGCCAATTATCCCTGGGCTTGTGGAGAAGGACCTCTCCTTTGGCTCTCCTTTGACCTCTTCTTCCTCTGTGGATAAAAGTCCCCAAACTCATAATGGGGTGTATGTGTGTATATGGGCACACGTGAGTGCCCAGTACACCAAAGGAGTGGTTCTCCCCAAGCCCGGTCTTTTTTGGCAGCGTCCCAGCATGGATGCCTATAAAAGTACCCAAATGCAGAAGAGTTGTGTGTTTGTGTGTGCACGTGCTCTTGGCTGCTGGCAGTTTGGGGAGGCGAGCTGGTGGGGCACCAAGTTGTCCCCATGTCAAGTTAGCCGGTGCAACTTGTTCCATGCCAACTCAGCTGCGCCAAGTCAGCAGTGCCATGCCATCTACACCAACCTGGCCACACCCACTTACTGCACCGACCCAGGTGCGACCTGGTGATATAAGGTGGAATACAACTGGATAATTAAACTGTACCCTTCCTGAGTTTTTTTTTACTTCTTGGGACATAATACTAGAACAACGTTGTGGAAATTACTATATCTCATATTTTTTCTTATATTTTTTTCTTTTTCTCTTTCTCAATTTTTAATTTTTGATTTTCCTTTTTTTAACTTTATAAGGAGATTGGTGCCCTCTTTTTTCCTATCTCCTCTACCTTTTTACACTAAGCATAACAAAAAAAAAATGAACCACTTTTATTTTTATTTCTTTCTTTCTTGAATTTTCCCCCATCCTTTCTTTCTTTTTGGATTTTGTCTTAAAATTGCTGATTTTCTCACTGGATTTGTAGTCTCCCCCCTTTGGAATTTATTGGATTAGGGCATAGAAGAGCTCAGAGAAAGAAATTTGGAGAAAGACCCCATTGTGGATTATAAATTGACTTTGAATACAAAATGGATTACAAAGAGATTATTAAGAGACAACAAATACAATATCAAAAACTGAAAAAAGCAACAACATCTGGCACAGATGTTGGCAGAAGAAATAGTTAAAGGCCCAATGATTGCATGGGCAAGGAATGTAGGGCACAATATTAATTTGGATGATTGGGAAAAATTTGGAATCAAAATTACAAAATAACAAAATTGGCAATCTATAAAAAAACATCAATATAAAATGTGTTATTGGTGGTATCTGTCACCCTCAAGGTTAGCTAACATTTATCCAAACATGACTCCGATGTGTTGGAAATGTAAGAAAATGAGGGGCACCTTCTTCCACACTTGTTGGCTCTGCCCAAAAAGTAAAAAAATATTGTGAAAAAAAAATAGACTGTGGATAACAGAAATTACAAGTATTCAATTAGAATTCGAACCTGAAATATTTTTGTTGGGAATGTTAAAAGGGGACTATGCAAATGAAATGAAATATTTAATTCTCCATATAATCACAGTGGCAACAATTGTGTTGGCACAATGTTGGAAGGGCGAACAAATGCCAACAAATAATTTGATTACTCAGAAAATACTTGACTGTGCTGAAATGTACCTACTCACACAATAACTTAGGAATAAGGAAGACTCAAGATATATTACAGCTTGGGATAAATGGTATAAATGGATTAAAGAGAAAAAAACAGGAAATTAAAAGATACGTTTTTGATGAATCGAGTAGTTAAATTAAGAATGTTTACCAAATAAGACTTCCGGTTTGAGCTTCTTCGGCAACAGACCGAAGCCTCGTCTCTGCAAGGTTTTGATCCGTGCTCGCCGCTGGAGCGCCCCGAGCCGGCTGGTTTCAGGGCTAAGCCACCCCGTAGAGGTGGTGAAGAAGGGGGAGACTGCCTGCAGGGTTGAGGAGAGCCACATCTCTCCTCCCCAGCTGGCCATTACTCCCTTTCCCGAAGGCGGTTGTAACGGTGGTCAGAAATGGCCACCACAAAGAAGAACTCGACCAGAAAAGTATGTGCAGGAGGAAGATAAGAAGAGAAAGTTTTGGTTGACCGGGTCAAACAGCAAAAGCAACAAATAAGGTACCCTGGAATTGAAATTATTAAAAAAAACCAATAACATTGTTCCCTAAGAAGATTTTTAAGCTGCGAAGGAGAGAGAAAAGGGAAAAGATTTTTTTTTTGTTTTTTTTTCTCCTTTTCCTGTACTGACAGCTAAGAGACTTAAGCAAGAAATTGGAAAAAAATCCACTTTGACATTAATAGGCATTTAATGCTGAAAATAAAAAGTCAAAGGGATAATAAAGATTTCTGGATAATCAAAAGCTTTTGAAAACAGGAAAGGAGAGAAAAAGAATAAAAGGGCAGGATCTGGAAGGGTGGAGACTGCCTGGAATTAAAAAGAACTTACAGCAAAATCTCAACAAGAACTTCCAAAAGATACATTTTAACTGAAACATCGCAACAAAAACCCCAGGAAGAGAAAGTGGAAAAAGAAATAAGAAGAAACAGATTGGGACTATTTGGATTACTTGATGATCTCTAGATTTTTGGTTATCGTATTTGAATGACTAAAATCAATTAGGTGGTTGTTTAAAACTGTTTAAAATGGCTCCACTTTTAGAAGAACTGAAAATGGAACTTAAAAAGTACAAAGAAGATGCACAAGAAGGGAAAGGTTCTTTTGGCTTCGTATTTCAGTTCTTAGAAATGGAGATTTGGAACTATGAGAAACAACAAGAAATGCCTGCAGAACAAGAAGACTGTGACAAAGACGAAGCCATCTTTAATGAACAAGTAATCTTAGGTGGGGGAAAAAAAGGAAAGGGGGGAAAGAGAATGGAAAGTTTAAGATTGGGACCCCCCCCCAAAAAAAATAGTTTGAAAAATAAGTATAAAATCAGAAAGCAACAGAAGAGGGAAATGCAGAAGAGAGAATTAGAAGTAGAGAGACAAGGGGCTAAAAAGGGGAGGGAGAAGATGAGAGGGAAGAAAGAAAGGAAAAGAAGTTATAAAGGACAGAAACAAAATATAGAGAAACAGGGCCTATTTAGAGATAATGGGTGAAAATTCAATGGAAAAAGGGATTCTGCAAAGGTACATAAAATAGTATTGTTATATTAGAAATAGAAATAATTTTAGAAAATATGCAACAATGTAGGATTAAAATGTTTGATAAAATAGCTATTGTAATTCAGTGGATTGCTTGTCACTAAATAAATGTAACAAAATGAATATTTAATGATATACAAAACATGTGAAGAGAAATAAGGGAAAAATTAATTATGGAGATTATACATGTCTTTAAGGAAGTATGATATTTAATTGAAAAGAAATGTTAAAGATGTTAAGATTTTAATGATTATTAATGATAGAACTGAATTGGAATGGAATGAGGGTTTATAATTACATATATTTATAATCCTTTTTTTAAAAAGAATATAGTGTGTATTATAAGAATGTACCAAGCAGAATTCGATTGGAAGTTATGTATTATGTATTATATTGAAGGTCATAACCTTAAGGTATATATTGAAGTTTAAATAAGAGTTGAAAGGATGTAATTAAAAGATATAAAGGTGTCATACTCCAATTAGTAACTACAGGAGAAAACTTGTTTAATGAGAAAAGATAATATGAAATTGAAACAGAACAGACAAAAGTATAAACATAATAATTTGAATTGAGATGAGATAATCAAAATAAAATTGAGAAAATTAAAAGAGGGGAAAAAGTATATAGAAAATGTAGAAGAGTATAAGATATGGAATAGAACACAAAAAGGAGCATGAAATTGAGTTTTGTGTCTGTATAAAGAAGTTCAACCCGGGACCATACTATTTTCAAAAAAGATGTTTTACTTGTATTTTGTATGTGTGAAAACCCAAATAAAACTTCATTAAAAAAAAAAGAATGTTTACCAAATAAGAAACGAATAGTAGTAAAATTATTACCAAGAAAAAAGCACACTGTCTTAGTTGATTAGAAGCATGTTTTATATGTTTATTTATTATGTATTTGTATATATAGATTTTGTACTCGATGTATTGTACATAGTGTTTTTCTTTTTTAATTTCTAATAAAGTTTTCTTTTAAAATAAAAAAAAATACAAAGGGAAGGAGATAACAGTACTGAAGCAAATACCAAAAAGTGTTAGAAATCAGAGGAGGGAATATCAATTTCTGACAAAATGCGTAATTAAAAGAGGGATTAACTTTAGATGGCTGATACCTGAGGGAATAATGGTGACATGGCATGATCAGAGACATAGATTAGACACAACTGAGAAAGCAGAGCAATTGTATGACCATTATTATCTATGACCAAGAGGGAGAAAAAAGAGGGAAATTGAAGAAATAAAACTGAGAAGCCGCAGGAGGGAGCAAAAGACAATGAAGAGGAGAGGAAAGAGAACAGAAAGAAAGAATAATCCGAGAAGAAGAAAAACCAAAGGAACCAAGGGAGACGAGTGACAAGAGCAACAAAACCATATTATAAATAAAGACATGGAAGAAGAAATAAAATTAATGACAATTAACATAAATGGATTAAATTCGGCAATAAAAAAGAAAATGATTTTTAATAAATTAGTGAAACTAAAATTAGATATAATTTGTCTACAAGAAGTACATATTAAAAGACAACATGAGAAAATAGTGGACTATCCTAAGAATGGGAAATTACATACCTCCCTAGTACAACAAAGCAAAAGAGGAATAGCATTATATATAAAGGACACTATAAAAGCAAAATCAATCTTCTACAGGTGAAACTTGAAAAATTAGAATATCATGCAAATGTTCATTTATTTCAGTAACGCAACTTAAAAGGTGAACCTAATATATGAGATAGACTCATTACATACAAAGCAAGATAGTTGAATCCGTGATGTGTCATAATTGAGATAATTATGGCTTACAGCTCATGAAAACCCCAAATCCACAATCTCAGAAAATTAGAATATTGTGAAAAGGTTCAATATTCTAGGCTCAAAGTGTCCCACTCTAATCAGCTAATGAAGCCATAACACCTGCAAAGGGTTCGTTCCTGAGCCTTTAAATGATCTCTCAGTCTGGTTCAGAAGGAATCACAATCATGGGAAAGACTGCTGACCTGACAGTTGTGCAGAAAACCATCGTTGACACCCTCCATAAGGAGTGAAAGCCTCAAAAGGTAATTGCAAAAGAAGTTGGATGTTCCCAAAGTGCTGTATCAAAGCACATGAATAGAAAGTTATGTGGAAGGGAAAAGCGTGGGAAAAAAAAGTGCACAAGCAGCAGGGATGACCGCAGCCTGGAGAGTATTGTCAGGAAAAGGCCATTCAAAAGTGTTGGGGACTTTCACAAGGAGTGGACTGAGGCTGGAGTCAGTGCATCAAGAGCCACCACACACAGACGGATCCTGGACATGGGCTTCAAATGTCGTATTCCTCTTGTCAAGCCGCTCCTGAACAACAAACAACGTCAGAAGCGTCTTACCTGGACTAAAGAAAAACAGAACTGGTCTGTTGCTCAGTGGTCCAAAATCCTCTTTTCTGATGAGAGGAACTTTTGCATCTCATTTGGAAACCAAGGACCCAGAGTCTGGAGGAAGAATGGAGAGGCACACACTGCAAGATGCTTGAAGTCCAGTGTGAAGTTTCCACAGTCTGTGTTGATTTGGGGAGCCATGTCATCTGCTGGTGTTGATCCACTGTGCTTCATTAAGTCCAGGGTCAACACAGACATCTACCAGGAGATTTTGGAGCACTTCATGCTTCCTTTCGCAGATGAGCTTTATGGGGATGCTGACTTTGTTTTCCAGCAGGACTTGGCACCTGCCCACACTGCCCAAAGCACCAAAACCTGGTTCAATGACCGTGGGATTACTGTGCTTGATTGGCCAACAAACTCGCCTGACCTGAACCCCATAGAGAATCTATGGGGCATTGCCAAGAGAAAGATGAGAGACATGAGATCGAACAATGCAGAAGAGCTGAAGGCCGCTATTGAATCATCCTGGTCTTCTGTAACACCTCAGCAGTGCCACAGGCTGATAGCTTCCATGCCACGCCACATTGAGGCAGAAATTGCTGTAAAAGGGGCCCAAACCAAGTACTGAGTACATATGCATGCTTATACTTTTCCACCCCTTTATCTTATACATTCCCTCAATTTATTCCCCTTTAATTCATTATAAAAATTTACCATAGTATAGTCATTTTTTAATTATCACATTCTATATTAATGACAATAATCTCCTAACTGCTCATCTCACATATGCATATATATATTTTAAGTCAGATTCTGCATGGTATTCTTTTTCTGAATCACATAAATCATCTATTATTTCAAAAATATTAATCTATTCAATTAATTATAGAAACTGATTCCATTACAATTCTCATATTTCATTTTAACTTTATTCATCACTTTATTAAATATCAATTAATATTCAATTAAAATATCAATTAATATTCTTAAAATAAATTCCCATGTCCACATCTATTCCAATTATATCTTTATCTAATTTAACAATAATCCTTAAAAGAAAAAAGCATAAAACATAAAACCATCTTCCAGTTTCATACATACAGTGTGTTGGTTGGTTACACTTTTTTTGTGCATCCTCTCCATAGTCCTCACTTAAAATTGTATAAGTTCTCATATTATCAATCTGATATATATGTATACATTATTGTCATTGTTAATCATTTATTGGACTAAACTATTATTCCTTCATTTTATACGAGATATTCAAAGTTTTAAGTTAATTTGTAATATAACAATTCATATCATCCTAAATCCATCCAATAGTAATACATCTTTATATTATATTCTATATAATTCTATTATCCTTATATTGTAAAATTCTCTAACATATTTCATTTCCATATTTTTTGTCTAACCATTGATAAAATAAATCCCATATCTTATAAAATAGTTTATCTTCTTGTTCTCTAATTTCAAATGTCAATTTTCTCATTTCAGCACATTCCATTATTTTCTCAATAACTTCCACCTGTGTTGGTATTTTCTCATTTTTCCATTTTTCCAATCCTAGCCGCTGTTAATACATTTAAAATCAAATATTTCAATTCCTTACTGTATATTTCCGGTAAGATCCCCAATAGAAATATCTCTGGTTTGAAGTCTGTGTGTTTCTTTGTCATTTTTTCGAACCATGTGTGGATTTTAGTCCAATATCTTTTAGCTTCTGCACATGTCCACCACGTACGGTAATATGAGCCAGGTATTTTGATGACATTTCCAACATTTTCCGGATTTATTCTTAAACATTCTTGCTATTCTTGTTGGGGGTAAGTGCTACTGTAAAACATCTTATACAAATTTTCTTTATATGCTGTTGACATTGTCATTTTATAGTTTTGAGACCACAATTTTTGCCATTTCTCTAAATCAATCCCATATCCAAAATTTTTTCCCCAAGCAATCATTGTTTCTTTAACTTGTTCTTCTTCTAGCTTAACCTCTAATAAATGTCCATATAGTTTTTTAATCACCTTTTCATCAGTACCTGTCAAAATTTTATCTAAATCAGTCAGTTTATCATAAAAACCTTCTGTTTTAAGATCTTTGTCATATCTAGAGTGTATTTGCACATATGAAAACCAATTCATCCTTATACCTTGTTCCTCTAATTTTTGCATAGATTTAAGTTCACCCTTTCCATTCAATATTTCACCATATCTGTTTGTTCCTTTTTATATGTTATTGGATATGAAAATGCTTCAATAGTCGATAACCAGACTGGAATTTTTAAATAATATTGCTTTTTTATCTTCTCCCAGTTTAATAACAAAGCCTCTCGTATATAATGTCTTCTGAAATACCCTTTTGTTTTAGTTCCCTTGTACCATAAGAAGGTGTGCCATCCCAACAACAAATCATGTCCTTCTAGTGTCAATAATCTAGTATTTCTCAATGTTATCCATTCTTTAACCCACATCAAGTTTGTTGCCTGATAATATTAGGCAATATTAGGCAGGCCAATCCTCCTCTTGTTCTAGCATCTTGCAACAGTTTAAATTTTATTCTTACTTTCTTTCCCTGCCAAATATACTTCAACACTATTTTATTTAAATCTTCAAAATAATCTTTCCCTAATCTAGTTGGAATTGTCTGGAACAAATATAAAATTCTAGGTAATATGTTCATCTTAATTGTTGATATTCTCCCTATTCAGTGATAATTGTAAATTTTCCCATTTTGCCAAATCTGCCACAATCTGTTGTTTGAGTTTAAGATAGTTATTCTCTTGAAGTGTACTGTATCTTGCTGTCAAGTGTATCCCCAAATATTTAACCTTATTTGTGACCTGGATCTTCAAAACGTCTGCCAATTCTTCCTTTTGTCTTACTAACATATTCTTTGTCAAAAGCTTCATTTTATCTTTATTTATTTTCAAACCAGCAACTTTTCCATATTCCTCTACCTTTTCTATCAGTTTAAGTGATGTTTCTAATGGATCCTCTAAAATAAAAACCAGATCATCTGCAAATGCTTGCAGTTTAAATTCTTCCTTTTTAATTTTCATTCCTTTTATATCTTTTTCTTCTCTAATATTTCTATTTAACACTTCTAAAGTTAACACAAACAACAGAGGTGACAGTGGGCAGCCTTGTCTTGTCCCTTATGTCAATAGAATTTGTCAATTCCCCATCTATCATTACTTTTGCTGTTTGTTTATGATATATAGCTTCTGTGACTTGAATGAATTTCTTACCAAAGCCCATCTGCTCCAGCTGTAATAACATAAATCACCAGTTCACATTGTCAAAGGCTTTCTGTGCATCTAAAAATATCAAAGCCATTTGTTTTTCAGGGTGTGCTTCATAGTATTCCAAAGTGTCCAGAGTTATTCTCTTTAATTTGTCTCTTTGCCAGAAACCCATTTTGATCAGGCTGAATAAAGTTATTCAAATATCATTTAAGTCTTTCTGCCAATATTGAAGCAAAGATTTTATAGTCTGAGTTTAGCAGGGAAATAGATCTATAGTTCTTAATTTGTTGTGGGTCGGT